TTTAAGTCTTTGATTGGCAGGTTACTAACAGCTTTTTTTTGTCAATTTCTCAGTTAGCATTGTAGTTATATTTTCATAAGAGGCGTGTGAGAGTGAGTGAGTGAGTGAGTGAGTGAGTGAGTGACAGCCATACACTTGAACAGGGCTTCATTTATTGCATGATTTCCCAACATGCTTTATCAGAAGTTGATCCAGATTGGTTCGGTGATCTGTCCAAAGAGGACTATCTGATTGGTAGACTAATGCTTATTATCTGAATTTATATAATTTGGATAGTAACAAAACAAACCCATTTAGATTGAAAAGGAGCCCTAGGGAGACCAGGTATTCAGAACCTGAGGAAATCTAGACTTGCTTCATTTAGGGCTTTGGTAGCAGTAGGGAAAATAATGTGGTTCGGGGACTGTGAGACAGACTATCTGATTGGTTAAAACAGCATTTTATTTCGATGGTCCTCTAGGTGATATATGGATTTGAACCTTACTGTAAATGTAGTAACCTGTTTAAGCTATATATAACAAGCATAGACTACAAGTCAAGCCTGATGGCAGAAAAACAGTGTAAGAAAATCTTACACAACTGAATGGACAAATCATCGGTCAAAGTTCACAAAACCTGCAAAACCTGTTGATCACATACTTGAACCATTTCTTGTGAAATGTCCTTTGGAAGGCCCTTCTTGAACTCCAGTGATATAACATCTCTACGTTAGTATTCTTTTTGCATGGGGGCTTGAAAAATGTATATTTTTCTAAGGAGCACATTTTCCTTATGAAATATTTGTAAATTTGAATAAGCATAAATGGGTTACATATTTATATGAATACATTCCTTCCTTTTTAAAACAATTATTTTACTTACAATAAACTGAGCCAAAGTACCAGCATCGAAGCTCAGCAAACAAGTACTGACATGTAAGAGCATGAACGCAAAAATGTTGATCTTTTGAAATTCTATGCCTTCTGTTTTTTAAGTTTATGTATTTTTTGCCATGCCCACATAACTAGGCCAGCCTCTGAAACATGAAGTGCCTCCGAGATGGTTATTACATCCAAACGCCTACACAAAACATGCTCATTCACTATGTAGACAGAATCCCACACAAGGCTGATTCTTGTTAAGTCCACCATAGCAGGCGTTCATTGAAGAAATACAGCAGTGATAAAAATCGTGCTCAGTGATTGGTTGAAATTTCTGTCAATGGAAATCTGCTATCTGAAGAATGAAAGGTTTACATTGAAACCTTTTGAGTTTTGACATTTGTGTACATTGATTGTTATGATGTAGAGAGGAAGATAAAACAGCTCTTATGGAGGATTATTTTTTATCATATATGTTTCAGGGTTTCATTTAGATTTCACATTTTACGTCGAAAATGTCATAGTAATATTTCATTAATAAAGTTCATTTTAAATTTTTTGAAGGATGTGGGGTGGAGTGGTGGATAGTGAGTGGACTTATAACATTTTTTACTACCGATGTTATTTTATTTATGAAAAATATTTTAACTATTTATTAAGCAAGGAATGTTCATATAGTGGAAAATGATACAAATTATGAATGAGATGGTAACAAAAATCATGCAGTATTTTTCACAGAAGTGATGCCAATGGAAATGACTCTAGTGTATATAAAAATTCTTGAAAGGTTCTGCAACATCCCAGCAATAAGACCTTTAATAATTGAGTCTTGACCTTACATTCCCGTGATTGATATTATGAGCACCTGTTCAGGTTGTATGATAACCAAATCCCAGCCAAGTCATTGAATCTACCCAATCCAACCAGCACAGTCTGATGGTCTTACAACAACACAGGGGGCTCTTCACCCATTCTAATGATACCTCGATAAGGATACGTTTATAAGGAAGATTATGCTGCTGAATAAATACAGATATAATATGTTGGTGAATGAAAGAAAGATTATGCTGCTAAATAAATATAGATATAATTCGCTGAGTGACTGCTTTTCTGTCTTCCCAAACAAACCAGCACTGTTGTATGGTCATTCAGCGAGTGAGTTTAGTTTTACGGCGCTTTTAGCAATATTCCAGCAATATCACGGCGGGGGACACCAGAAATGGGCTTCACACATTGTACCCATGTGGGGAATGGAACCCGGGTCATCGGTGTGACGAGCGAACATTTTACCACTAGGCTACCCCACCGCCCCTCGTATGGTCTTACAGTCTTACAACCAGCATGGGTTGCTCTTGACAAATTCTAACTCTGACCGCTGCTGGAATATTGCTGAGTGTGGCGGAAAACTAAACTCACTCACTCACTCTAACCCTGAATCCACACTGGGCAAGACACCCAGCTATGCTATAGACTGTGCAAGCTGCCCAACACAATGATACCGGGAAGACTGACTGACTGACTGAGTTTGGTTTTACGCCGCTTTTAGCAATATTCCAGCAACATCACGGCGGGGGACACCAGAAATAGGCTTCACACATTGTACCCATGTGGGGATTCGAACCCGGGTCTTCGGCGTGACGAGCCAACGCTTCAACCACTAGGCTACCCCACTGCCCCGATACCGGGATGAGAAAACAGTGGGAACATAGCATAGATGTAGAGACAAAGACAGGAACTTGGTCAGAGATGTAAGTAAGGGTTACAGTTGCTTCCCTCAGGTTAAAGAGGGTTTTTAAATTCAGCCCAAGTTTAAGGAACATAATTATATCGAATCACAAGACAATGTGGGACTCATGAAAAGTTTACAGGGATTATGTCAGTGACATATTTTAAAGATCACAGGGGTTACATGTCAGGATTTGGTATTGTGGGATTTCTAATGGAGCAAGTGGGGTTTTAAGGGTTGCAAATTCAGGAAGGGTCTCTTTATGAATGTATGCTGTTATTATGTATGTATGTCGGTCATTAGGGTTAGATAGGTGTTTTAGAATCATCTGGAATGATCACAAAGGATGTTGAGTGTTCACGACATGCAACTAGGCCTGTGAGGTGAGGTGAGGTGAAATTGGGTTTTAAGCCGTGCTTGAGAATATTTCGCTCATATGACGACGTGCATGCGTGTGTATGTGTATGTGCGGCTCCTTGTACTAGCCCAGACTGAAGCTGGTTTTATAGTGCTAGCCCACTGAGATACCATGCCGCAGTGAAGCATGAATACCCCACTCAGACACATTATACTGACTCCGAGCCGACCAGTCCTTGTTGTACCCATTAATGCCGAGCGCCAGGCAGGAACCAACAAGTACCATATTTTACCGTCTTTTGGTATGATGCGGTCGGGGATCGAACCCGCGACCTTCCGCTCTCAGGTCTTTGAGAGTAAAACAAGGATATATATTGTGTTAACACGGAATGTTCAGGTGTTTCAACAAAAAAGGTTGTGGGTTCAGGATGTTGTTTTTCACTGCACAACAATGGTATTCTGTCATTGTTTGCTCTATCTTACATCCACATTAATGGACATTTCTCTATGGAATGATTAAATTCAGTAATTTTAGACATATCTTCATTTTGTTTTTTATCAAAAGCACTCTATCAATCACAATTAATCTTTTCGGAGAGTGCTTCTCATAAAAAACGAAATGAATATATCCAAAACTACTCTATATATCTGTTACGAGGTATGTACAGTATAACTGAACATAGAAGTGAAAGTTATTATCAGATAATTGAATCAAAATGGATTGAGAGACATAATAACAGCAGGCCTTTGAATAAATGAAAAATAAGTATAGAGACAAATAAAGCTCATTTTTAGGCCTTTGAATATATGAAAGAATAAATATAGAGACAAATAAAGCTTATGAATGATAAGGAAGATAAGGAAGGAATTCTACAACTGCTCCATGTATTTATACGTTGCTGAATGAAAGAGAAATTATGCTGCTATATAAATAAAGATATAATTCATTGAGTGGCTGCTTTCCGTGGGGGTTATAGTTCAAGCCCGATTATCACCACGTGTTGCAGCTCATTACAGAAGTCATCGTGCTGATGCTGAGGAAATTGTCCGTTCATGTGTAGTAAAAAGGAGTTTGTCGACCACAGTATCGTACACCTATGTAGGCCTCTCATCTATTGTGTGGAAGATGACCAACACGGCTCTGCTACACACTGCCTTACAACATTGATCTTCATCTGAATACAGGCTAACTTCTGGGGGAGGGAAATTCCTCTTATCACGCCGCCATTCGACAGATTTGTACATTTTATGAAACAATTGATGCAGGGGATGATATCATTGATTAGTCGTGAGTCAAATGTCAACAGCGTGTTAAAGTTACAATTACAACCCTGACTGGAAGCAGTATGTTGAAATGCCTGCGGCCGGTAGTGTTGTAGTGTTAGGAGCGGAGGCGAAGGGAGTCATGTATCTTGGTTGCGGACTACGAGATGAGGGTGGGAGATTCTGTGAGTGGGAGGCAGTATTGTGACGAGTATGCTGGGAAACATCTGGTCGACAGGGCTCTCTCCATTCATGTCAGTGTGTCCCTGAATGGGGACGGTCTTTGTAGATGTGCTAGTGCTGTTTTACTACTGGAACAGTAAGTATTGTAGTGGTTTCAAACCTGGCTGGAAATTTCGCTGACGTATCAAAACCTTCTTGTTCCTACCAGTCAGGTACTGTGTGTCTCAAGGCATTGATGTCACTGCTTGGATGCTGTATGGAGCTTTAACTGTCATTACGATATGTATGGATATGAATTTGACATATTTATCCTCCATGTGGCATATGGGACCAATATTTGATTTTTTTTCCATGTTGATGAATTTTGATAATTTGTATGGTATATATTAGCATATATTTAAGAACAATGCTGACTATCATTTAATGAATTTAAACATATGTTACACAAACAATTATTGTGTACTTTGTAAATATATAAGCGTGTTGAAGTAATTTTCAAATATTGAATGTGAATTTTATGCTGTTTATATTTTTATCATATTCATTTCAGATCTTTTTGTTGATAAATATTAAAAAATATTAGATTTTTATGTAATTTTCATCCCTTTCAGGTAGTTGTCACCTGCAGTCAAAGATACTACTGTCCACTGATGAGGTGAGTTGTTTGTTTCATGCCATGTTGATACCCCTTACAATCAACACTTTATCATTGAAGTAAAACACTGATAAAAAAGATAAACTTTCAATATAGTTTATTATATCCCATGCAAACAAGGTAATATACATGAGGTAGTGAGTCTGTCCAACCCTATTTTGATTGGTCAGTACACCTTCAGTTTGATTGGTGTCTCTATGACAACTAAAAACCTGTCTTTCTCTCTAACTGATGGATTCTTTTCGCAGAAAAAGTGTGTTTGGGTTTTTAAATTCCTTTTTTCTAAATTAAATTTCTTCAATATTGACAAAATTAGAATTACTTAACTTTATGTACAATATTTGTTTCTCTGCCAGGACTGTTAAGTAAAATTACATGATACAGTTGAAACACGTCATTTAAGGTTTTATCTTGTCAGCAGAAGCTATAAAATGTTAAATATATAAAATTCCTTTTCATTCCATAAACAGAAGCAACATAATCCAAATTAACATTATTATGAATGGTTATGTAAGTTGCTACATAATAATATTAAATAATGTAAATTACATATCTAAGATCTTAATGGTGTTGAACATTTAATAGGTAAGTTATCTGGAGTGTTTTGATTTATGAACTGTCTGATCAACAGTCTGATAACTTAATCAGAGCTTAAGGAAGTAGTAACTCAATTATGTTTCACAGAGCAAATCCATTTAGCCAGGATTCCTTAAATTCTGCTGAGACCACTACTCGGTGTTGTGGGATCAGAGGTCCATCTTCCAAGTATGTTATTCATACATAATAGCAGCTAATGTTGTAAACTTTAAACAAATCAAGAATAGGCTGGATTTGTTTAGATCCTGTCGGCCATGTTGCTTCATCTGCAAACCTCAAGATCCGTTGACTCGTTCTGCTTTTTACATACTCCCCTTCTTTTCACATATGCCTCTCACCACATGCACCAAGCATGAGACAGTTGGGTAATAGTTTCAGTGTATGGTGCATGCATACCCACCAGTGAAAATCCTGCAACAGTTAGGTTTTTAAACCTGGTGGTTTCTGATAATTGATATCGTTGGGAGTCTGTGGTCTAATTATCAACAAGAATTTGGTTTTGTGGGAATGAAACTTCCAAACAGGAAATGCCAAGCGTTGTTGCAGTGCTTCTGTGAGAATGGCTGGGAATATGGGGGATAAGAATCAGAGGGAGGGGGACATTGGGGTGGGGCTTGGGGGGGCATGGGACCCCCTGACAGGGTCTCCCTCGCAGCCGCGCCAGACATGTACCAGCCGTCTGCGGTGTCTCACTATCACTTCCTTCATTCATGGCTGAGGAATCGTGGGATAGGATGTTCATTGATAAGTTGGCCACCAGGCAACCATTTGTATTTTGTAAGCCCCTGGGAGAGGAATTCTATCCTCGCCCCCACACTATGGAGTGGAGATCCCTGTCATGCAGAGAAAATGTCTGATATCAGGGTCCTCAGTTACAAACAACCCTTCCCTCCACACAACACGTCTGCACAACGCGTAGTCTGCAATACACATCAGTAGAATGGAGACTGGGAGTCCTGGGTTTGTTACTGATTAGGTAACACGTCATGCAATGGTGACATATGGTGCTGAGTGGGTGATAGAGTAAGTGGCAAGGTATGGCATGATGACGTTGTTGGAGGGTAATGGTGTTGTGGTGTGGTGTTCTGTGGTGGCATGTGGTGTTGAGTGGGTGATGGAGATGAGTGGCATGAGGTTACGTTATATGGCATGGTGACAGGATTGATTGGTGAGGTATGACATGGAGTGGTGTGGTGTTCAGTGAGTGAAGAACTGAGTCTCAAGGTCTTGCATGGGGTGGTGTGGTGTGGTGTGGTGTCACGTAGTGTCCAGTGGGAGATAGGATTGATTGTTATCATGGCATAGTGTGGTGTTCAGTGGTGTCATGTGTCTAGTGGGTGATAGGATTGATTGGTGGCATAGTGTGGTGTTCAGTGGTGTCATATGGTGTCGACACCAATATGTCCCAAACTGAAAACATCTTTGTGATGGTTGTACATCGTTGTGATGGTTGTACATCGTTCTGATGGTTGTACATATTGACTTTGCCTGATCAGTAAGTGACGCAATTCTTTAGAGGTGGAAGCACACCAGGTGATCTCCTTCTGCTGCCACCTACACAAGCTGAACACTGACCCCGAACTGACCTCCTTTTAGACACCAGACACCTTCTGAAACGTGCCACTAAACCACAGCTTTTGACACCTACTCAGTTTAAACACCTGTTGAGGGATTGTTTGTAAAGATATTTCATTCAATCCAATTTGGAAATGCGACACCAGGATGCCAACAGATTGACTTCAAGATAGGATATTCAATACTGTATTGCTGGCCAAAATATAGAGATCACACGTAGGGACCTCTTTCAAAGCTGTATGTCTAAGCGAAGCATAAGAAGACTGTTAAATGCATTTCTTGCCTAGACATGTCTGTCCAGTCTTACTGCCTGCCAAGCAGGCTTACTCTAATGACCCATTTGAAAAGATCAAGTGATTTAGAAATTCAATGGAAAATAAATATTCATGAAAAGCCAAACTTTTAAGGACAGCAGGTAGTTAGGAATGACAAGTGCTCACTTCTACTTTTAAAGTTAAGAAGAGAAGAATATAATTGACTTCATTTTCATTTATTTATTTAGAGAAAGGTATTTTCATGATCTTTTTAAAAAGAATTTTGTTGGACAATGGAATGACTCATTTGAGATTTTGTCTTGTCAGCAGTAATTATGATAAAATATGTTAGATTCCCTTCCATTCCAAAATAGAACAGAAGCTGTATAATTTAAATAAACATTATCATTTATAGTTGTATATATGTCTACATATACTATTTGATAATGAAAAACATTTGTATAATATATTATTGGTGTTGAATGTTTCATAGGTAAGTTATCTGAAGTGTTTTGTGAACAACTGTCTGATCAACAGTCTGATAACTTAATCAGAGCTTAAGGAAGTAGTAACTCAATTATGTTTCACAGAGCAAATCCATTTAGCCAGGATTCCTTAAATTCTGCTGAGACCACTACTCAGTGTTGTGGGATCAGAGGTCCATCTTCCAAGTATGTTATTCATACATAATAGCAGCTAATGCTGTAAACTTTAAACAAATCAAGAATAGGCTGGATTTGTTTAGATCCTGTCGGCCATGTTGCTTCATCTGCAAACCTCAAGATCCGTTGACTAGTTTTGCTTTTTTACACATTCCCCTTCTTTTCACAACATGCACCAAGCATGCATCGTCCAAGTTCAATGTATGTAGTTCATACATAATATTCTCTGTTGACTTCCATCCTCCTGATTCAGGGTGGAGTAGAAACTGCCATCCTCCTGATTCAGGGTGGAGTAGAGACTGTCATCATCCTGATTCAGTGTGGAGTAGAGACTTCCATCCTCCTGATTCAGGGTGGAGTGGAGTAGAGACTGCCATCCTCCTGATTCAGGGTGGAATAGAGACTGCCATCCTCCTGATTCAGGGTGTAGTAGAGACTGCCATCCTCCTGATTCAGGGTGGAATAGAGTCTGCCGTCCTCCTGATTCAGGTTGGAGTAGAGACTGCCATCCTCCTGATTCAGGGTGGAATAGAGTCTGCCGTCCTCCTGATTCAGGGTGGAATAGAGACTGCCATCCTCCTGATTCAGGGCGGAATAGAGACCGCCATCCTCCTGATTCAGGGTGGAGTAGAGACTGCCATCCTCCTGATTCAGGGTGGTGTAGAGTCTGCCGTCCTCCTGATTCAGGGTGGAGTAGAGACTGCCATCCTCCTGATTCAGGGTGGTGTAGAGTCTGCCGTCCTCCTGATTCAGGGTGGAATAGAGACTGCCATCCTCCTGATTCAGGGCGGAATAGAGACTGCCATTCCTGATTAGGGCGGAATAGACACCGCCGTCCTCCTGATTCAGGGTGGAATAAAGACTGCCATCCTCCTGATTCAGGGTGGAATAGAGACTGCTGTCCTCCTGATTCAGGGTCAAATATGTGGCATGGCCGAATGCTTTTCACTGTGCTCTGATTGTCACTCATGCTGTCAGTCACTAGTCCAATACAGACTTGAATATTTATAAGGATGTTGTGATATACAGCTGCAATGTTGGTGGCAGTAGAGATTATTCCCTGAATCTGTCACTGATTGATCAGTTTGATGGGTAAATGGCAGCCATATGTAAAATGAGGTCATTTAGCTGCCATTGCAATCTTGAGAAGGAATCGCCATGTTTAGAATTTTGTCAGTAGTTGTTCCATTGCAGTGTTTATGGCGACAGTCACATGATACGCATGACATAGATTTACAGCCTGTTCCTCTTTTTGCAACAATATTAACTGTTGTGGAACATGTTACTCTAGTTTATTTGTTAGGAAGTGCACTCCATGGCTTGCTGCCTGGTCTGCAGCAAGAGTTGCGGTTGCTACATGTCAAGGGTATGTGCAGTATTTATCCAGTCAGTCATAGTTAAGTATGGTTCTGTGTGCATGATCTATGAAGTATGCCAAATGATTTATTTGAGAATAGATGCATTGGAAAATGATCAATCCTTAGGTCTACTTAGCTTGGCTGTGGATATTTTTTTCAGTTTTGTCGCATTATCGCTGCAGGAACAGGAATGGGCTTCCCAAGTATTTCAGTTTAAGCGTAATCAGTGAACACTTTAACTTCTAACCCACAAAACTGGTGACAATGGGGGGAGGGTGTGTGTGTGTGGTATGTTAAGCAGTGTGTGCATCCTGAACTAGGTCAATAGCAGTTAAAAGACCTCATCTACATGGGTTTTTTCTTCATTTTCTGCTGGTAACGTGTATTGCCCCCACTGCTAATATATCTGCTTGCAGTCCCTTGACTGCCGATCCAAATTTGCATTGTAAGCATGCGATCAAAACTCACCAAAAATGGGTATTTTTTTAAAAGAAAACATTTCAATTTTGATCTTTTACATAAGTGACATTCCTTATAATTAGCATGGCTTGTTTCCAC